TCTAGAATTATTCAACCCGCAAGACCGAATGAATATCTCAAAGAAATTAAAAGGAAATCCGACACTAAAGAAAATTAACGACTATGGATTATTAGGATTACTTAAAAATCAAGAATTTGTATGCTCAATTGAGCATGAATCACGAGATTTCACTATGAAACGACTAAAACTCAGAAACCCCAAAAATGGACAAAGCTACGATTTACAAACACAATCAATCGTAACAATAGAACAAATATTTACCGAATACTCAAACACATAACTAATTTGGCTAAATTAATCCAAATAAAGAAATTACCGGCAATGTTTGACCCGGACATGTAGATCGATGTGTGAGCCAAGTGGGATGCTTACCACCCTCATTTATGAATGATTAATCGAGACAAAACCTGTTAAAGCGATGTACATATGGTTAAACAATCCTCATTCAATAGGTAAATGTGATGCATAGTGCAGAAATTCATGTTTTTACGTCGTACGTACGTACGTACTGCATTTACAGCTGTTTTCGATTTAGTTGGATCGACGGTCTGCATAATTTTTTTTTTTTAGCCCGTGAGTCCGTGAACACACTAAAGATAACCACTTTATATTCGTCGTATTTTGTGGAAATTCTTTATCATTAAAAGGGGAATATATGAATTCTAAAATGAGTTCTGTGAAATATGGCAAAGCTGAAATGATTCCTTTATTGTAATCACAGGACTCGCGGTGAAAAAAAAAATTATGCAGATCGTCGATCCAACTAAATCGAAAACAGCTGTAATGCATTGTCCAATTAGTTGATATTCTGCAGATAAGCACGCCATAGCGATAGTAATCATTTACTTTTGTAATATTATATACGTATCACTCCATTCCTGGTATAGTGGATTGTACTACGTACTTGTACGTAACTATAAAACATTTATCATGTGTTGTAATGTTAAACACTGAGATTTGTGTATTGTAATAGCAGAAGTGGATATTATTGGATACTGCGATTTCCATGCTATTACTGTACCTTCAGAATTATATAAAAACTTTTCTCGTTTCAATACTATTTCATCTTCGATATTATCAAATTTAACCACAGGATCTAAATCTTGTGTAGTTATAAAATCCAGAATTTCAATTCCATCTATTCTATAAATCTTTTTATGAATTTTTGATTTGAATCCAACAACAACACCAAAAGTACCATTTACAATACCTTTATTATTTTTGTCATTAAAAATAGAAATAACTTTCACACCAACTTTTAAATATAAAAGTTCTTTGGCTAAAACTTTCTTATCTAAATATTCAATCAACTGCTTATGTGGAGGTAGATCAAAATTCTTTTCCTTATCTTTAGCTATATTTCAATCATTTGAATAAAATTCTAAAATTCTTTTTCCTTTTAAAGAATGTAATATATTATAATTATACGATTTTGCAGCTTTTTTATCAGAAAATACGATCATTGGTTCGTATTTATCATCATAATTTTTAATAATTTCATCATGTTTACTTCTAAAATGTCTTTTCAAAGCCCTACCATTTCTGATGTAAATATTTTCTTTGCATAAATTATATTTAAATTTGTCATCATCTTCAGTAAAGTAATCAATAATCTTTTCACATATCAATTTCTGTTCCAATCCTTTGATGTATTTTAAAAAATCTGATTTGATAATTCTTAATCTTAATTTGTTTAATCCATTTTTTACAAACTCATCCGATTGTCTAATAACTTGTTTTAAAAGTATGTGTTATTGGAATGTTCAATTCCAAATTTCACTTAAAAAAACGTACAACTCATAAGGTCTTCTCTTGTCTCCTCTATTTGGAATAGGTGGTAATTGAAAAAATCACCTGTTACAATCAATTGGACACCTCCAAATAGTTTCTGATTTCCACGAATTTCTTGTAAAATTTCATTTATCAAATCTAACACGTCACAACTTAATATGGATATCTCATCGATAATTAACACTTTAGTATAAATTATCCGATTTTGGAAAAAATTATTGCCTCTTATTTTATTAATAATATCATTCTTGGTCTTATTCATAATACCAATATTAGAATAATTATGTATAGTTATACCATTAATATTTAACGCTGCAATCGAAGTGCTAGCTGTTACCGCAACATTATATTTTTCTCGATATTTTAATTTTAATTCTTTAATAAGATATTTTAACAAATAACTCTTTCCAACTCAAGCAAAACCTGTGTAAAAAATTGATTCGCTTTTTAAAACTGTATCAACCACTCTTTTTTGTTCTTCTGTTAAATTTACGTTTTCAGTTTGAGTTTTGATTTTTTTTATTTCACTGTTATTATTAGATTTATATTCAATTTTTCGTTTATTCATGTTAATATAATAAAAGAATGAAAAAAGCACAATTTAAAAAATCTGAAAAAAAAAATAAATATAAATAGGCAATAAATTAATAAAATAATTTATAATTGAAATAGATTATTATTATTAATTCTATCCATCATCCTCATCGTATTAGTAAATTCTTCAAAATCAGTTTGATCATCTAAACTATACGAATTACTAATATTTAATGAAGTATTTAACAAATCCTGTTTATTTTCTTCATTAAAATAATTATTTTATTCAAAAAGAACTGGTTTAAAATCGTATGAAAATATTTTCCAATCTTCATTAATCATTTCGTTATTCGTTAATCCAATACTTCCATCAATGCTTGTTAATCCAATATTTTCAATCATTTTGTTATTCGTTACATTTTCATCAATTTGTTTTTTCAACTCTTCATTTTCAGTTTTAAATTGATCTAATTTTTCATCACGTTTGTTAATTTGTTTTTTCAATTCTTCAATCTCTATCATCATTTTATTATTATGTTTAACAAATTCCTTATTAGCATCTTGATAATCTTTTAAGTTTTTATCGAGTTTTTGTACTTCTTCATTCAATTCAGTTATTGAATCATTTAAATTTTGATTTTCGTTATTCAATATTTCATTAATTCTTTTCAAATCTTGAACTTGTTTTCGATAATCTTTTAATTCTTTTTGCACATGTTCATTTTCCAATTTCATTTTTTTCACCTCTTCTTCCAGTATAAAAACATTATTTCTATTTAATTCACATTGTTCTTCTAATGAATTCATATAAATTTGTATTCTATCCTGGTGACGTCTTTGAGCTATTACATTTTTATTTTTTTTTTCATCATTACTCAACACTTTCAGTTTTCTTCCTGATCTTTTAATACCATTATATGCTAATCGAAGATTATCTTTATTATCAAAATATAATCTATCAATTAAATAATAATTTGCATTTCTAACAATAACATGTTCTTTAAAATTTTGATATTGAATATTATGATCTTTTGAATAATGCCCTATCAATTCATCCACATATTCTTTTATAATTAATTTATTATTATGATTAGATAAAAAATTATTTTGAAGATATTTTTTATCAATTTCACATTTGAAATTGCATTTTGGTTGAAAACATTTTAAAATGTTGGTATTTTTTTTAAAAAGAAATAAATTAATTTTTACCATTTTATTTAATAATTAAAATCAAATCGAAATTTAATCAAAAAAATTTCAAATTTTTCATGTTTAAATAAAAAATCCCAATACATAAAACATAAGTGAAAATACCAAAATAAATAAATTTAATCTGTGTAAAACTAGTACATTTGTAATTTTAATTGAGAATTAATAATTGTATTTGTTTCTATTCTTAATGGTTTAATTCTAAAATTCTCAAAAAGCTTCTTAATTTCACAAGTACCACAAACCAATTTTTGATTACTAATAACATTATAGCATTCTTCACAAAGATTAAATAAATTTATTCCTAAAGAATCATGAACTTCTTTAAATGTATAAACATCGTTAATGCCATGATATAAACAATCCATTTCTTGCTTTTTTTGTAATTTATCGAACGAATCATTAAAATAATACATTTTTTTAATTTTGTAAATCGTTCTTAAAATAGCAGAAAAATTTATTTCAACATCAGATAGATGCATTATATAATCCCACATAAATTGAAAATCCTTTTCATGAACCAAAAAAGCAACTATGTGGATATCATTACAAAATTCATTATCACTATATCTATTACAAACTTTACATTTAAGTTTTTTTGGCTTGAATTCTTTGTTTCCAATACAAGTTCTTTGTGTATGGCCATACACATGACAGAGATAACAGGGTAAATTTGGACAAAATGCGTTTATGTGACCAAATTGTTTACAGTAACAACATTGAGTTTTTTGACAAAAAATAGTCTTGTGATTACCAGTAATTTTACGCTTGTTACAATAAACAACAGACTCCATAATTGCATTAATCAAATAATAAAATCAACTATTTTATATCATATAATTAATAATATATTATTTTCTAATTTATATTTTATATGATATAATTTTTTAAATTCT